TAGATGGTAAATCAAGACCATCTAGTAGTTGAGGCATCTTGATTTTTCTATAGTCGATAGCTGTGTTAAGTTACGAGCACCCGAGGGTACAGTAAATCATCTGAACAACTTCCAACCCATCTTTGATGGGACGACACGGCCCATCTTCGTATCTTCGTCCAAGGCACCACAGCTGCATCAGGGCCATGCCACAGTTCCTATGGGGATTTTTCTTCCGCCCAATGATGATAGATGGTTCATAACATTGTTATGATGGTCTAATAATGGTTTTCTTCATGGTTAAATGGTTGATAAATGAATAGCCTCTGGCCTCTGGTACTTTGTTACAGTTTTGCCTATGGAAAATTGATGAAAATGGCCCATAGAAATCGTTGATTTACCGAACTGAAAGATGGTGATTTTCCATGGGTAGTGGGTCTAGAACCAATAGAAAAAGGGAGAGTGGACCTTTTGGACCAACATGGGGAATAGTTACTGGTTGTTGACTGTTTGTGGATGGTTATGGGTGGACATTCAGCAGCAATAATTCCGACTTTCACACGAATGAAACAGGGATTTACCATGGGTTTACCATCCCCCAACTACCGTAGACCCTGAGAATAGCCCATGGCGGGAAAGTAGCCTTCCAACCCCTTGACATCTTGGGTCTACATTCAGCCAGGAGTCAGCAGAAGAGTGAGGCCCAAGATCCTCGGTGTTGATATCCTGGTTGGTGGTATACCTACCCCTCTGAAAAATATGAAAGTCAGTTGGGAGTATTATTCCCAACATATGGGAAAATAAAAAATGTTCCAAACCACCAACCAGCATCTAAAGTAGTGAGAAACTCTGATAATTTATTCAACTCAAAACTAAACTCTATCTTTTTCAGGGTCACTGTATCTATATATATATATATAATTATATATATTTAAAAAAAATGTGCGCGTTTTCACGAATAACTTAACTCAATTTGTGGCTCGAAAAAGAAGCCCCTCCAGGAAGAACATGGAAGAACATTGGCCCATGGTATCTGCAGGTCCGGATCCCGTGGGTATCTTCGAATGGTCTTGGCCTGGAAGCTTGGATAAGTGGGCATCATGTTGCATCCCATCCCCTAGAACAATTCCTCAAGGGACAGATTCAGCAGATTGGATTTCTCAACTATCCAGACTATCCAGTTGTGTTTTGGATATATCAACTATCACCTCTGATTTATCAACTATCATCAGATGTGATCAACCATCAGATTGGGAGGTTTTTGCGCTACCAGCACTGGGCCCCAGCCGCTCCCAGCTCCACATCTCTTTTTCCAACGGCTCGACTACTCAAAGGCGCACGGATGAGGCTTTAGGCACCTCGTTGTGATTTGCCCATGGCGGTTTTTTTGAATCGGGGGATGACCCAGTATCAGGTCAGAAAACATCAGAAACCCCCATGATTCATGGCCCATGATGTTCACAAATATGGTCATATGATGGTCATATTATGGTCATAGTAGTAATGATCAGATTACCGATGAAAAGACAATCCAGTCAACCAAACATTGTCCCCTGTCCCCATTCAATATCCCTCTTTCCTTCTCCAAACACCAAACTTCAAGTTTTTTCCGGAGAAATCTGGGTGTTTCTCGGTGTTTCTCTCCTTTTCTCCCCATTTCATGGCTTGGAAAAAAACGTGTCGCCGAGTCGCTCCTCTCCAGGTGCCGTTTGGCTCACGACGACTTGAGGAGCGCTGGCTCGGGGTGACCTAGGATAGGGAAGTCATATAATGAGGATATGAGAATATACATTACAGTATCATGGTGTATATATATATATACACATAATGGTGGTTTATATAATGGTTTATATATATATACATATATACATTATCTGGTTGGTGGTATACCTACCCCTCTGAAAAATGATGGAGTTCGTCAGTTGGGATGATGACATTCCCAACTATTGGGGAAAATAAAAATGTTCCAAACCACCAACCAGTTATATTAGTGAGAGTCCTAATATATAATGTATAATAAAGGGGATATATGCTAATGCATAGTCCTAATATACATCATATTAATGTTGATCCATTTAGTCATATAATTCATATAATGATAGTCAATGATATACAATATATGACTTATATATTTACTTAAAAATAATAATAGAAGAAATGAGATATATGAAGAACATTTAAACTATCACATATATAATATGATAGTATGATAATATGATTAAAGAAAATACTACGTATAATGATAGATGTGTATATATATATTGAGATAATAATGATAAATAAGAATATAGAGATGAACTGGATATCATGATAATTCCTGTAATTCATGGAATGGCTATATAAACCCCTAATATTATGAACCATGTATTATCATACTTAGAATGGTATATGTATTTATTTATCTATTTGAGGGTAAAGAAACGTGTATAAATCATTATAAATCGCTATATGGCTGAATATGAGCAATTTGCCCAAGTCTGACCGTGGCATGATGGTATGTATGTTTGGCCAACTGTACGGAACTGAAGCCATCCTTTCTTCTCAATATTTCCCTACAAAAACAATATGTATTACCGGGTATTACCGTGCCCAAGGTTTCTAAATATTCCCCTACAACACTTTCCCCATTATTGTTCCCCCTGTTAATTGGAATATCCCCAGCACGTTGCCATCCTCCAGTCATAATTCAGAATGATTGGTTAAATTTGGTTTTAAACTTTAAACCAACACTATTTCAGGTCTCACTTGGTATAACCTCAAATTTCTTGCCGGTTAAACCACATTTTTTGGCTAAAGTCCCATGCTTCCCCATTTCTTGTGTTCTCACTGATTCTCAGCACCAAACTTCCAAACTGCCAGGGAACAGTCAAAGGTACTGGGTGGTCTTTGTACAGCATCCTCAGTCATGCTGGACCAGCCAACTAGCCCAACGACAAAAGAAGCTCATGGGAACCCATAGTGACAGTCCCAGTTGAAAAGGGCCCCGGACATTCCAAACCACCCGGCCCGGCCGGCCCGGCCCCCCGGAACTTCCAAACCACCCGGCCCAAAACCACGAGCTGAGCATTGGGATGCACCCCGGAAGATTCCACTCCAAGCTGCAATTCCCAGTCCGCATCCGACATCCGTGGCATCCTTGGTAGCGGAGAGGATGCCACGAATGCCTTCGGTACCCCATGCTCCATGGAAGCCCCGCCCCATTCTTCGGGTTTCTCTGAACATCTATAGGAGAAAACCCCTCAACTTGATGGCTTATCATCATTTTCCCCCACAAAAAGTGCCATAACTTGGATATATCCCGCATTTTCCGACGCATCATGACATATCCATCCATCGGCAGCTGAATCCAGTTCCATGTCAGGTTGCTTGGGCGGCTGGCTGCATGGCAAAAATCCCGCCTTCGACAACTTGTTCCTTGGGTCAGGCTGGAGACCGTCTCTCAGGCAGCCATATGCAGCCACAAATGGCCACAACTAACAGTTTGACCCTGCCATGGAGGTTGGAAGATTATTAAGATTCTATCATAGAATATGTATTATATAATGTATATATAGTGCCCACTAAAATTGGCAATGTTCACGGTCTTTGCTAATTTACTGAGGGTATATAATATAAGTATCTATCTAAATAAATAAATTTGGCGCACCTTAGTTGCAGGGAAATTACTTTACTTCGTGTGATCCCCACCATGACATTTATACATTTTCTTACTGGCAAATCTTCTGGCATTCCATCTGACATATCTTCTGACATTCTATTTGACATTCTATCTGGCATATCTTCTGGCATGTGATCTGGCATATCTTCTGGCATATCTTCTGGCATTCTATCTGGCAAATCTTCTGGCATTCTATCTGGCATATCTTCTGGCACTCTATCTGACATATCTTCTGGCATTCTATCTGTCATATCTTCTGGCATATATTCTGACATATCTTCTGGCATTCTATCTGACATATCTTCTGGCATATATTCTGACATATCTTCTGGCATATCTTCTGGCATATCTTCTGGCATATCTTCTGACATATCTATCTGGCATATCTTCTGGCATATATTCTGACATATCTTCTGGCATATCTTCTGGCATATCTTCTGGCATATCTTCTGACATATCTATCTGGCATATCTTCTGGCATATTATCTGGCATTCTATCTGGCATATCTTCTGGCATATCTTCTGGCATATCTTCTGACATTCTTTCTGACATTCTTTCTAATTTTCTTCTGCACATTCTTTGTCCCATATCTTCCTACATGAGGTCCGGCAGGGAACACTTGGCGTGGATACTCGCGGTTGAGGTCCGGCAGGAAACACTGGGCGTGGATGGTCGTGGTTGAGGTCGGCAGGGAACACTTGGCGTGGATACTCGCGGTTGAGGTCCGGCAGGAAACACTGGGCGTGGATGGTCGTGGTTGAGGTCCGGCAGGGAACACTGGGCGTGGATGGTCGTGGTTGAGGTCCGGCAGCGAACACTGTGGATCGCGGGTCGCAGTTGAGCAAGGACGACGAGGACGACGAGGACGACGAGGAGGACGAGGAGGAGGAGGAGAGGAGGAGGAGGAGCAGGAGGAGGAGCAGGAGGAGGAGCAGGAGGAGGCAACTGACATAAAATCTAACAACCCTCACCTGGCAGGTGGGGAAAAAAAAGTGTCTTCCAGAAGTGAACCAGATTTGTGTTCAGTTTGAGGGGGGACCCTGGGATATGAACCAACCCCCCAAAAACATGGGTCATCATAGCCACCATAGCTATCACCCTCTCCGGAAAAAACCCTTCCGCCATGATCATCCCAGCCTGCCCGGAGCCTGGTGACCTGGTGGAATCCGAATCTTTCCATGTCAATGTTTTTGACCACTAACCGTCAGTACAACCACCCGGTTAGGTCATTGAAATTTCCCTCCAAGACTCCAAGACTCCAAGGTCGTTAGGTATAGGACATGATGGGAAATTCAACCCCATCCAGCTCCCCAGTTCTCATAGTTTCCCATCCTTTCTGGGGCCCCACGGCATCCAAGATGCAACGCTTCCAGTGGTGAACGGGCCAGGCATGCGGCGTGCAGTTCGTACTCAACACCCGGCAGGTTTCGAGGGGAACTCACCAACCAACCGCCACTGTACTCGTGGCCCAGCCTGCGTCGCGCCGCTGTTACAGAACTCAGTTACTAGTAGACATACCTGACATAAACCCTTATTAGTATTGTACAGGTAGTTATACCTGTAATTAATTTATACCTCGTTTTGTTGGATTTGTTGGGTGATATTGCTGGGAGAATGGTTTGGGCACTGAAAAAATGGCAGCTGGTGATGGAAGACCCCTTGATGGGCCCCTGCGGGCAGTGATTTGTTGGGTAATATTGGGTTACAAAGTGTTACAAATGGGTACAAGAGCCATCTCCGGATTTCATTTTCGGAGAAAATTAGATCAGGAAACCCATCGATCCAGATTGATTATGACTTGTAACCTTGAAAATGTCACACATGAACTGCCCAGTGGTAGGAACATTGGCTCATCGCTTTCCACCCCATGACATGTCAAGCGGACTTTTCGCCACAATTTCGTATAGTTAAACGGTAAACCCATAAACTACCCATACAAAGGGGTCACTGCAAGAATGGTTCCCTCCGGCAATTTCTGTTGCAAATTCCCTATTTATGGTGATCATTTACAGTACCTATGTATTATATGTATTAGCTCCATTGATTTCTGTGGTGATTTTCCAGTTCGCAAAGTGTACTGTACTTAAATTACCTGAGGCTTTTGGCAGTAATAACTTAACCAATATTCTATTGACATTCCATTCATAGATATCAATAGTTTGTTATATTCCCACAGAATTTGTATCCCATTAATAGAGATTAATATTAACCAATATCAACCAATATTACCCTCCAGTAAATTAACATAGACCCTGGCAGATAGAGGGTTGGAAGACTCGTGTCCACTACAAATGCCTTATTTTCAGGGTCAAACTCTTAATTTACCAGGGGGTAATAATCCACGATATTCCCATGGACAACCCTATTAAACCATTAAAAGACCCTATTAAATCAAATCATGAAAAACTTGTTGGTGGTATACCTACCCCTCTGAAAAATATGAGTTCGTCAGATTGGATCATCATCCCAACTATTGGGGTTTCAATAAAACTCATATTCCAAACCACCAATCATTAAAAGATATTGGAAAACCATACCTGGTTGGTGGTTTTAATCATCTTGAAAAATATGAAAGTCAATGGGAAGGATGACATCCCATATATTATGGAAAATAAAAAATGTTTTGCTCGCGGTTCTTCGAAGCTCGGCTGGGTCGCGCAACGCAAGCTAACGAGGTGAACCTACAGGCGGATCTGGTCCAAGGACTTACCGGAGCCAGAGGACGGTTCGGTCAACTGTGTGGCCAGAAAACTCTCAACAAAATTGTACTCTTCATGAGTGAACCCAATGGCCAAGCAACCCTTGAAACAGCTGATCCAATGAGAAGCAGGCCGCACAGTCGCCGTCACGAAGCGGACATTGCAGTCCTTCAAAAGCTGCTGGAGCATGAGCCGGAAATATTTCACGCGGGGCCCCAACCGTTGATGATTGGCAAGAGCAGCAACAGCACCAACCTCAACCTTCCATTGGCCATGATCCTTACTGACATGAATGGGGCCCTCGCGCTTTTGGAAACTGATGTACAGTTGGTGAAACGAAATCCATTGCAAGGCCGCGTCGGATGCCCGGATGCGTGAAATCCATCTGGAGACACGGACAAACAAGTCAAGACCAAAGAACCGACGGAACGCGGACCCAGACAGCGACAGCTCATCAGGCATCTCCAACAGAAGCTCTGGCGTAGATCGGGCAGCACGCATTGGTCGGGAAATTTGGGGAACAGCTGACCTGACCTCAACCGGAGCATCATTCCAAAACTTCGACACAGCCAAAAGGTGGGACCGAGATAGGTCTGCTTGCTCACGACAAAGATCAAGCTGATCCGAGAAAGTCGACCACAAAGACCAAACCGACGCAGGACGTGAAGTGTTGGCTGCTTTTGTAACTTGGTCCGCAATATCAGGCCTGAGGGGTATGGGCCGGAACTTTCAACACCTCGACACACCCAGGACCAACTTCCAAGGCAAGCTGCTGGATGGCAAGCAGGAGGTCACTGTGCTTGGAATTGGCGCGGACCGGCATGGCATCTCTCACATGGGCAGCAAAGGCATCAAGAGCGCTCTGGCAATCCGTCCAAATCCTGATACCCCTGCGGGTTTTGGCTGCAAACCTGAGAGCAGCCATGATGGCATACAGTTCTGCTCGGTACGCAGTTTGAATGAGGCCAGGCAGGGGTTGGCCCGCCAAAGGGATGAAGTCACTGGGGCAGAAGTCCAACTGAAATGGTCGACCCAGAACCACGGCCCAAGACGCGACACGAAGGGACGGGCAGGTAGGAAACAAACAGGAGCCATCAGTGAACACATCAAGGACGCTGGGAAGGCTGCCGCACGGAGTGAAATGGACTTCCCTGTCAATGGAATCCAGATACTGAAGCCATGCAGTAGCGAGACTGGGGCGCCAAGTCCAACCATGCTCAACCACAACAGCAGGCAAGGACGCAACAGAAGCGAGGAAGTCCAACGGAAGAACATCACGCAGGTGCTGAGTGGCGGGACAATCCCAAAGTCGATGGCTCGTGGAGTCCAGGGAGCCGCACTTGATGCAAAGGTCACTCCGATTCGTGGACCAATGCTGAGCATGCGCATTTGTGAGGGTGGCACCATGGAGGTGTTTGCGAAGGATGCCTTGGTCGTAAGGCGTGTGGCTGAAATAGGCTTTCCTTGTCTGCGCAACGTCAACATGTTCAAAACCTTGAAAGGTAGGGCGATGCCGCACATGCACTGCCATGATAGTAGTCCACGCAAGTTGGAGGCGAACCATCAACTCACCAAACGAACAGGCAAGCAGCCGGAATGAGCCGATCGCATCCGAAACAAGACCACATGGCTCAGGCGTGAAGCCCACTTGATGGAGTCGCTGACAAAGGATCTCAGACAAAGAGTTGTATTGCGGCTCAGCACCACCAAACGGGCCAGCATCAAGGTCATGGACCACACAGAAATCGACCCCTAGGCCACGGGCGTCACGGAAGGTTTCCAAAGCCGCAAAGACCAACGGGTCAACAGAAATGCCTTCTAGTCCACACTGCAAGATGGGATTGGCACCAGGCTTCTGGAGATGCAAGGCCTGCATCATTTGAGTTCGCAATCCTTCGAAGTGCTTCCTACCAACCACAACGGCTGAGATGGCATGCATTGCTCGGGGCCAGGCAACACGTGAAACCAAAGTGAGTTTTTGCCGGTAGGAACACCAAGTGGATGAAAGCTTCGCCCAAAAATCGTCAAGGCATCTGAACCTGTCCACTGCAGTTTTGTTGGCCAGCTGGCGAGTGTAGACGACATGGGCCCCCAGCTCACGGGTGCCCAGCAGGACCTGGAACCCTTGCTCACGGAGGGACTTGCGACCTTCAGCATGAGAGCACCAAGTAAAGCTCTTCTTGGCATCGAGCTGGACCTGGAGCATAGCCGCAAAGCGATCAACTGCATCAGTGGCTTGGCGCATATGATCAACATTGTGCAGGAGGACGGCCCAATTGTCGACATACGAAATCGGTTTGAACATGGTGTTGCATGCAGTCATCCACTTGTGGAAAAGTTGCGTGAGAAGGAGCATGGCAACGCAAGACATGGCGCAGCCTTCGGGAAATCCATTATGTGAGCTGATCCCACCAGACATTGAACCACGGACAACAAAATGTCGGACAAAACCACCAAGCGCTCCTGCCCAGGAAACCAGCGTGGCTTGATCAAGTCCAAGCAGCTTGGCAGCGAAGAAAACCGGTCGTCTGGGTAGCACATTGAAGGCTTTCACTATGTCGGCGGAAAAGCCACAAACAGGAACCTGATCCCGATGGGCTGCCTCGACCTGCTCCAGCACATGTCTCCACACCATGCCAGCACGACACCCAACAACATTGCCACAGAGAAAGGGGTCAACCACATGAGACAGCCGGGAAAGCCAATGTCGGGCAGCAATGGAACTCCAAGCACGGTACCATTGGGAGAAGACCGTAATGGGTCTGTAGTGCCCCACTGTGGTGGGATCATCCGTTTTGGCCAACGAGCGCACATATCCATTCAGGACTTGCTGCGGCCAAGCTCCAGACTGGCCAGCGCATGCGAAGGTCCGCAGGAGAAGCTGGAGGTCAGAATCCGCCAATGCCAAAAGGTCAACCCGAGAGACTCCATCAAGGCCGGTAGCTGATTTGGATGACTTGCGCTTGAGACAGCGACGAACCGTGTTGACCGAAAAGGTAGGGCAAGACTGGGCCATGGGACGCAAATGCAACGCCGCAAAGTTGACAATGTCATCCCATTGAGATTCCGGCACGTCCACATGCTTGTTCCACAGGGCAGACCAATATGATTCAAAGGCACCGAACAGATCAGGCAAAGAAGTGGTGAAAGAAGACTGGGTAAGAGTGTCACCAACCTGAACGCCCGCACAAGAATCGATCCAAACCTTGTCCTCTTCAGCATGGATGATGGAGACTGGGCCAGTGTGGTGCGCAAGAGGGGCCTCAAGATTCCATTCAACAGCTTGGTGGGTGACCACAGCACATTCCTCCTCATCGATCTCAAGGACAGAAGCAGTTTTAACACCCACCAGAGAGTCGACCTGAACTGGGGCATCCCTTCTGACAGATCCATACATGGCATGCACATCAGATGCTTTGGCCAAGCGATTGGCATGCGATCGTGCAGATCGAAGTGCTTTCTCAAGTTGGTCAAAGTCCATTTCAAGACCGGCATAGAATAGCCACGCAGTAGCTTGGTCAGGAGGCACCAATGGGACAGCAACAGGGTCACCCACAGCAAGAGAACGCTGAGTCCACCACTCCGAAAAGGAAGGACAGAAGCCACGCGCACCAAGAATTGAAGTCCAAAGCCCAAACTGGTGCGCTCGATGAGCGACAGAGGCAACCCCAGAACGTGCAAGTCGGACGTACGACTGGAGACGTCGCAATTGCTTCAACCACTGGGCATGCTGGATACAGGTCCCCAAGAAAGCTGGCTGCCGGTCACCTGGCCGACTTGTCTTCGTAGGCGCAAGTTGCCCATGTCGACGCTGTGGCGTTTGCAAGCGCCCACGGCCGGTCATAGAACGCACAATTGGCTTGTGCTGCCGCAAGCGCGCAAGGTTGTTTTGGTTCTCGACCTCATGCCAGAAGGTTTCATAGTCAGAGTCCAAATTGCAGCCAGGGGCAAACAAATCACGACGGACGGGGGCACGGCAGGAGGGATCCAACCATTCCATGGGGTCAGGGGTCGGCCACACAAAGCGATCCAGGGTGTCCTGTTGGCCAGAAAAAGTCCCAATCAGATAAGAGTGATCTGACAGCGATTCATCATCAACACGGCAGGACTGAAAAGTGGGACGAGCTCGCGAGAGACAAAGAGGTAATCCCGGCGCGTTTTGCCACGGCAAGTAGCGACTGGCAAGGACCCAGTTCTCTCAGCATGGATGTCTTGGATGTCACGAAATCCCAATCGCTCCATGGTGGCCACGGTAGACAACCGATCCAAGTCATGATTGAAATCTCCTGCGATAAACCGAGGACCAGTGAGCTGCAGGACCCTCTCCAGAGCTAAAGTCAAGAGTTCATCAGTGACTTCACGGCCGTTGACATGAGTAGGCCCTGTTGGCGTGCCATAAACCGTGACCCCAGAAATCCAGACCCCCTTGGCACAGAACCCGGAACACAGAAGACGCCCAGAATTGAACGCAACGTCAGGCCAAGTGTGAGGCAATCTCCGTGAAGGAAATCTTGAAAGCACTCCAACCCCAGACCATTGACCGATGTCTGAAGTAAGGGACCTTGGAGCAACAGGGCAGCCATGGATGAAATGGGAATACGGAGACTTTGCCTGCCGAAGATGGGAACGGAAAGTAGCAATGCCACCTTTGGTCAAGTGAGTTTCGGACAAAATCCAAGAATCCACCTCAGAATCATGGAATCCAAAGCCTTTGTTGTTCAGGCCGTTCATATTGGCCACCCCAATGGTGAACGCAAGACCAGGTGTCAAAGCTTCACCCACACCCCACAGCGACAGGAAAAGAGCCCACAAGTACAACTTGCGCGGAGGAGCAGATGAGCGTCGAGGAGGGCCAACAAAATTCCACAAGGAAGGGCCAGCACGAGGGGCAGACAAAATCCACGCAAAGCATGATGCCAGGCAAAGAAGTCCACAGAGACAGTGCCACATCCACAGGACCCCAGTGAAACCAGACCAGACGCATGACTCGGGAACAACGACACCAGAGGCAAACCCCTTGCCACGGAAGTCGGCCATGCATGGTAGGCAAGCACACCCAATCACAAACATTCCAAAGAGGAGCATCATCCAAACCACACACAGACAGGGGCCACCACCCCTGATGAACTCAGGGGCGTGGCAGAACCGTCATTCTGTCCGCAGCTTCTTGGACAGCAGGGCCTCGATCTGCTGCATCTGAGACGAAAAAAGGGCCTGCATTTGGTGCCCATGGGATTCCATCTGTTGGTTGACCTGTGTGTGCAAGGCCTGGTATTGAGAGTCCTGGCGGGTGATGCTCTCATCCACTTTTTGGTCCAGCTGCTGTTGGCCTGCTGCAAGAACATGGACTTGGTGCTCCAAGGCAATCAGTCTTGCTTCCTGCTCACCTGTGCTGTCGACTTCCATGCCGGGGGGAGGAAGCTTGGAAAGGATGGATTTCTCAATCCTGGACTCAAATTCCTTCAAGGATGTGTCGGCAGGCGGCAGGACCTTGGGTTGGG